AAAACTGCTGTGTACAAGTTTGATCTCAATTTCAAAGTGAGTCTGAGGTGAATGATTGACCCTGATTGCATTATGTTCCCGAAGAGAAAACCGGGTAAAACACGCTGAAATCAATGTTCAGCTACCTTAGGACACACTTTCTTTTTAAGTGACTCTTTTATATCAAAAGTTGCTGTTTTTCACTGTTTTTTGTGACACGTACGCACTGAGTTAATCTGTGAAAGAGATAGATGCTACATGCTATAGATGCTAGATGTGAGTAGATGCTACTAAGCTGTTGTACGAAATTTTTAACATTAAAAATGATTAAGAATAGTGTATCGTTATCTAATGTTGTTATATTGTTTTTTGATTCTAATCATCTACTCATATTTACGATATTTAACGCATTTTAGTGGCATCGATACCATCTGCTGTGTTACACGCATCGTATATTCAGGGTATTCTTATATATTGAGTGATCCGATTTTTATCTTGGTTACAATTTCTTTTTACATAAGACATTTTTACTAAGACATTTTTTTCGTCTGTTTTTATTCAGTTTCACAAAAAAAGAAAACAAAATGTTTCAAGTTAATACGTTTGGATTATTCTGTTTGTTAGTTATATTTTCAATTGCATGCTGTGATACGAATTCGATTCAAATTGTTAACAGTGGATCAACAAATACAGCTGGTTACAACATAAATATTGAACGAAACGGTCAAACAAAATACAGCGTATTTCGTCGTTTCCCAATAGGTGGTAATCCACAAGAAAAAACCACACAATTGGAACAAAATCTAAGAGAAAATTTGTTTGCTAATATAGAAATGGCAATGCCTCTCAGTCAGTATCCGGTTAAACATTGCATGAAAAGTGCTTCATTTGGCTATTCACTTCGTGTTACCTACAACGAACAAACATCACCCGATTTAGCATGTCCATTAAGCGAAGAAAAGTTAGTCAATGTCAACAAATTTGTACGAGATATTGTCGCCTATTTGAATATAAAAACAATTGGTAATTAACTGAAAATAAAGTTTGTCATGTATTTGTAATTTCTTAATAAAGTACAAACATAATAATTGTGCCGTTACTCTCTTCTCATTTGTACAAATATGACTGAACTGAACTGAATTTTTATTTTTGCAAGCATGGTTGTTACAAAGGAAAGCTAGCTTAAATGCTAATGCACCAACGATGACAAGCACTTTTCAACGATATATTTAGCTATTAAACACTTTATCATGTAGCAGTACTGAGCACCGTATCCAACATAAAAAGATATCCCAGATCCCAGGTGTTCATTCATTCATGGAATCAAATGAATTCGGGCTTCAGATTAAATTTTGAGTTTGGATAAATCACGAAAAAATTTTACTCAGTTTCTTTTCTCTTTTCCTCTAGTGCTCGTAGCACACTCTAGAAAATCAAATGAAAAAAAAAATGTTTAAAACTTCTTAAGAGAGCACTGCTAAATTATTTGCTCTTTTACCTCGTGCTTTACGTCTTTTCTTACAAACAAAGTAAGTCACAGTCACACTCTAAACTGGAACACCTATAATCTATGGCCTTATTCTTTAGTTTGAACTTAGTTTTCTGAACGAGAATGTCACATAGTGTCCGATAACGAGCACGCAGGATAATTACAGTATCAGTTCGAGTATGTAACGTATTTTTGCCGTTTAGGAGCCATTGCACAGAAAGAACGACGGACACTAGCAAAATGGGAAAATATTAATAATGGAAAAGTGCTTGTCTGAGTAGGAAAAAAATATAAAAGGATGGGTAGTTTGCATTATACAGGTTTTTTGATGTATTGTATCTCTATATCTAATCTTTTCTAACATACTGATGTGTAAACTTATATTTGAACATAGACGTACCAGTTCAGGTTTTCAAATGTCCAGAGTGACGAATCAAATAACGTTTCTATATGCACGTCTAAGATACTTACACTTTCTCTGAAAATTTGAGATGACCTGCACCCCTAGTGAACTACCTTTCTCAGATCAAAGCTGTAATTTCGAGTAGAGCAACATATGTTCGGTGCAGTCAAACTCGTGTTTAGCCAAATACTTTAACTTTTCATAGAAAAATTTAGCCAAAAAGTACGACAGACGTGCGCGATTACAATTACAAAATGTAAAGTTCAAACATTGCTATTACCTGTAGAATTAAGAATTCTAGAATTATGAACTTTACATGTATGTAAAGTTGAACTTTACTT